GCGACCCGGCCTCGGATAAAGCGGATGAAGATGGATGGATGGTCACTTTATGACATTTTGAACAATGACTGTGAATTAATGTTGTTTTTCATCTCCTAATGTCATATAGTTTATGCCATAATAAACTTACCACATTTTTCATTTATACAGTTTTCACTGGACTCTGTGACAAACTCAGACATTCATTATTTTGGCGCACTTTTCCACAGCGTCCATTTGTGCACAGCTCTCTGAAGGTCCCGCTGAGGTCTGGACCATTGCAGCATCGTCATTCTTTCCTTTTTCAGTTGTTTTGTTGGAAACGAGGTTTTGCGTGTGGGATCATTGTCCTGTTTCATGACCCAGTTTGGCTCGAGCTTTAGCTGTAGCACAGACGGCCTCACATCTGACTCCAGAGGACGGTACAGTCAAGAACTTTAACATTAAACATGCTAACTGAGGCCTGCAGAGTCTGAGATGGAGCTTTAGGCTTTTTGCATTTTCTCTGAGCGACACACGCTCATTCTTTGGGGTGAATTTCCCGACGTTCCCGACCAGCAAACCACCCAAACCTCTGCTTTTATAGAGGTGCTCACACGTGCTGATGATCAGTTCATCAGGTGCATTTGATTAGCATCACCTGGCTGCTACAGAACTCAGTGTATTCTAGTTTTCCCTTCATTGAGTCCCGTGAAAAGTTTCTTCCTCACATGACGTGATTCTTACCAGATAGGTTGCTGCTTCAGGTGAGTGTACAGGTACACCTTTTCCCCTTTCTTTTCCTCTGGAGCGCCTGACACTGAAGAGGAGGAGGAAATATAACAGGCAGTGATGGACTCAGGTTCGTTTCTAGAACATTCTTTAAAAAAGTAAGAGCACTGGAGCAGCAAAGTGAAATAAAAAATGATTTCTGAGCTACGATACCTGGTGATTTAGGCTTCGTCTCCCCCGGATTTTCCCCATCACTGCAAAACAGATTATAAGAGTGAGGCAGTGACATGTGAAAGTGTTGAACAGACTCAGAGGAGGTGCAGATGCTCACTCAGACTTGGGAGCCACTGAGCTTCTCAGCTTGCTCTCCAGGCCCCCAAAGAAGCCTTTGACGTCAGTCTTGGACGTGTGTTTAAGGAGGCGCTCGGCGGCGTCCTTCTTCCCTGACAGCCAGGTGTTAGCCTTGTTGAGATAAGAGTCCAGACCAGCTGGAGCACCACCGCGATCCAACAGCTCCGAGGGAGACGGCTGAGACTTTCCTGAGAAGAAAAGCTCAAAATGCTGAGTGCTAACGTTGCCTAACAGCAGCTACCTGCTTTGCACCGTCTGAGGTGGGGGGTTATTTTCACAGGTGTTGACTGAAGTGAGATTTAATGAAGTGAACGCTTCACTTTAGCCCAGCAGCAACTCAGCGAGCTGGAAATGAAAACAGTCATTAGTGTGTAAGATTGTGTTCACAACACAAAAGTGGAAACATGCTGTTACTCTGTGTTAAATCAGGGCTCTCTGCAGTCTGCAGCAGACCTTTGTGTGTCGCTTTGCGCCCGAGTGCAAGTTGTTATAAGCAGAAAAAAATATTTAACTTAGCAGACGTGCCTGCAGACTCGCTGATGCAATGCACTGTGTCACAGCGGTGTACTAATCACTCAGTGCTTCCTGCTTGCATGAGCACAAACACTACCTTTATTTGTGATGCTGCTGCAAGAGAAACCACAGAGCCAAACCCTGCTGGTAACATTCCCTGAATCAGCACTGACGTGTCTCGTTTTTATAAAACAGACACAAACACAGATGTCTGTCTTTTGCACTTTTGCAGCTAAAAGTTGGAAAAGAAAAGCTTTTAATTTGGGCT